TATAATAAAAATCTTAAACTACATCATCAATCCTAAAAATAAAAGTATTTAGCCTTCATAATGTTAAATTTAAACACGCAAAAGTAGAAAGACATCACCAAAAATTGACGAAACGTGATTAATTCCAATCGAAGTTGCCTCATTTGCTTTTGACGCCCATTATTCGTGTTTTGTATATGGGCCTGTTTGGGTCGGATTAAAATCTAATTTTAATTTAAGTTAAAGTCAAAGTCAAACAATCAATATTAACCACATCTTTTATGGGTCTCCACATCTTTTCAACCACACATTTTAAAATTTTTTATCACAATCCACTAAAAATTTAATTTTAATCTCCACCAAAAACCCTATATATATATATATACACACAATTTCAGCCATTTGTTTTATTCCCAGAAGCTGCTTCACCTCTGTGTGTGTGTATATATATAGCAAAATCAGTAGCCCACTATGCGTAAAACTGCCGGGTCCTTTTCTTCTACGTGAATGTGTGCATATATAAATCCAAAAATTGCCTCCTTTTTCTTCCACGTGAATTTGCCGGCTTTTGGTCCTTTTTTCTTTTCTTCCAATGGTTGTCGTCTTATGCGTGTGTGTATAATATATATATGGCAAAATTCAGCACTTGTTTCCTCCTCTGTGGCTGTCGTTTTTTATCTTTTTCTTCTGCTCAAGCTGCCGGCTCTTTCCCTTCTTTCTGTAGGTAATATATATATCATAACCAGCCCCGAATTCTTCTCTTTTAATTCATCCAATAAAAGTCCAATTGAAGCCCATTTAATATATTATTTTCTTCAAATCAAGTTCTTCACTTTTCAAAGTACGAACTTTAATCTCCAAACTTTGCCTCCAATAATTTAGTCCCTGTGCTTTGGATTTTTTCCATTTTTCGCTATTTCGCATTCTTTTCTTTAATTTTTCATTAAACATAAAATTTTACGTACAAAATACAATATAACATAAATTATGTAGAATTTTATTTAAAAGACAATAAAATATCATGATTTAGAGTCTTGAATAAGTATAAAAACTACACTTATCTTCAATCATGATGTGCAGATAGTATTCTTGATTGTTTGACTTTGACTTGAATTAACATCAAATTTTAATTTGGACCAAACATGGGTTATAAAATAAGGTGTAGACTTTCATTTAGTTATTATACTCTTGCATATCTTGATGCATTTACTCCTTTTGCAGCTCACTGGACTTGTAAATTTTTTTTCTAGATGGGCTATATAGCTTTTTTCTTTAATAATACGACTCATAGTATTTTTTCTCTGAAACAGTATAATAAATCTTTTAGTAGACATTGAATTAACCACAAGTTAATGATTATGAACTTGAGTTGCCTGAAGAGACCCTATAGATAGATTCTCTCTTTTAGTGAATTATTCTGTGTATGAATATATTGTTCATAGACGATTTGTACAAAAAACAATGAAGAGCATACAAGTTGAATTCTTGAATTGTGGTATGTTTTGCTATAGGAAGTTCCTTAGGAAGATTTTGCACAAGATACAGTAACTGTTTGAAGTTCCTCAATTCTCAGGAGAAGCAAACTGATTATAGATTAGCACTGTACAAAAAAATTAGAGAATGGAGAACAATTTTTATTTTTTAGCTCAGCTGTTGTCTTTCCACCCCCATACCGACCAATTTTTCACGTTACTGGTAAGAATATTATCTGCACATCATGACTGAAGAAGGAAGCATAGTTTAGATTGGAATTAGAATTGAAATTGGATACACGAAATGTATATGATTAAGCGGACAATAATTTGATAATAGAGTAATGCTACGAGTACAGGAACATTTGCCAGGAAAACATACAGAAATTCAAAAAAGCTGAGGTGACACTAACATTTCTGAATCCCTGACACTGCGCTCACCTAATCTATTTTGATGGAGATACAAAATCCAATAATTTGATAATATATGCTTTTTAGCAAACAAAGCCATTGACGGTAACTGCACAAATTAGACAAAACTTTTATTATTTATCTTCTTCTTCCAGTTAACTTAATAACCCTTATTCACATGTGAATTGATTTCTTATATTCTAGAACAATATAATTTAGTGAGTCTCTTTACATATTCAGAAAAAAATATATTCATCACAGTGCATTCATAGCAAACATTGAGTTAGGTATGTAATTCATGAAAATTCAACACATTCAACACACTGACATCATTTTACTTTCTATGCATTTCATTCTCAAGCAAGTTACACTCATTTCACTGTAACATACTAACGAACAAATAGTCAACATTTCGTCTGCCAAAAAATAGAAGTATTTACTACAAAACTCCAACGAACTAGACTATATCTGTATTTCTTTGTATTTACTACCAAACTGGAATGACTATCAGAAATTGAATCTATCAAAATCAAGCTGCCAACTTCTGTGGTGAATTGAAAGAAGAACAGACAGCATTCATGTGCTGCAGACGCAATGCAGCCAAAAGACCTTGCCAAGTGTCCCCGGGCGCACCAGCCACATGAAACTCGAGAAGCTTCTTTTGTTTCTTGTAGTATTCTTCTACAGGCTTTCTCTGAACAAAAGCAAAATTCTGAGTTATTAGCATGTCACTACTTGTAGCCGCCGCAAGAAATTAAATTTACTGTTCATAGCATGTTGATAAAAAATAAAAAATTATCATCCACAAATATGGGAAAAGAGTACCCACAACTGAATTGCTCCGCAAAATATGTAGGAACCTGTCTTGCACACCGTAATCTTGTGTTTTGATGGATCAATCAAAGGTATTTTTGCCATCTCCATACCCCATACCCAGTTAAACAATAAATCTTTTAATTTTGTTTAATAAAAAACTTAAATTTGAAATTAACTTTAAACAGGGCAAAAATTATGTTTCCTGTACCAGCTTCAGGACAAGGACTCTCGTCCTATCCCGTTTACCCCGTTAGACGGGTAACCCCCTCCCCATTTGGGGCGGGTTCGAGTTGAACGAATTTTTTTGCCATCCTTAGATCAATGTTGAAATCCAAAACAATGTGTTCGGTATACTGATTTTGGATGGATCAATCTTTCCATTTGTATAAAATCCATTTTGACTAAAGTTTGCAAGAGTCCATTGAATCCTGAAGGTTCTTGCCATGTTTCTCCCTATTAGAAACTCAAAATATATGTAGTGTACATTTAGTGTAAGTTCAGAAGACCAATGGAAGTACCTGTTCTGCATACGCCCAAAGTTTCTCCTTCCAGGCAGTATCTTTGTCAGCACAGGCAGATTCCAGTTGGCCATCTTTTGGCTGAAGACTTAAATTGAATCCCGAGCCAGCCATGCGATGAAAATCTCGAGAAGGAGAATAAGTTCCATTGCCTAGATTTTTCTTTACCATATGCTCCGTGCATTTAAGGTTCAACACTAAGTCTATATCAGTAATTCGGTCTAGGATTTCCTGCAAGGACCACAACAGTTTCAAATCATCAGCTATTGAAACCCCCCTCACATCACCATACATCAAAGTTCTTTAGAATGATTGTGACAACTGAAAATACTATATCGTATTCTCCTACTCCTATTGCATCACAACACTAGATGCACGCAAAAAAAAATAAATTCGCAGTTTAGATGGATGAACATGCAGCAGCCAAAACTTAGATAACATACTGGGAGTAAAAATTGCTTGCATCATCTTAAATGTCGATAGCATGAAAGAGGACTGTTCAATTGGGCGGAACAGTGTCAGAAGGACATCAATTCAATTTATTCCATCTAAACAGACTTTTGAGTGAGATACCAAATTTTAAGCTTGAAACTCTTGATAAACTAAAGCTCTTTGTACATCCGAAGAAACAGAGGAGAGGAAAGTATCACTACTTACAGCCTGAATTCTTGTGCGAGGTACTCCATCCAAAATGAAGCCGGATTCACCCCTGCAGTACCCTTCCTCCAGTCTCTTCGACAACAACCCAAAAATGACATCCTCAGGTACTAGTTTCCCTTGATTCACTGCACTTGCAATCTGTTTTAAGACCAAAATTATGAAATATTAAGAAAATGAATCAAGTGACTCTAGAACGAACCAAGAAATTGCAATCATCAATGCAATATTGTCAACGAATGCTCACCAAAATAAAAACTGTATAGTTGTACAATAGATAGTCTTCATTGGGCGATTTCATAGTAAATAAGACCGAAAGCTTCCAATTTCTTCTTTTTCTCGAAGTTTTCATCCGAACTCCTTAAATTCCATTCTTTTTCTCTAAGTTTTTTTTTTCCAGAAAATAGTCAATCTTTCAGAAAATCAAACAGCTTCAAGTTGTGCAATTCATGAATTTCAATTAGATACTAACATTCAGCTATTGATTTTCCAAATTCAGAGATAACAAAATCTAAAAACACCTCAATTTCTTCCATTTCTTGCAGTTCCTTTTCCTAGATCGAACTCATTTTCTTCTTCAATTTTAAGTTTTTTTCATAATTTCGTTGCATTTCTTTTAACAATCCCCTGGAACCAAAAATTAAATAATAGATGTTGGATTTCACGTGCTGATCATGATCATAAGCTGAAGTCTGAAGTTTAATTGGTGATGAAGTCTTTTACAGAGAGACCCTTGGCTCAGCTTACATAATGGAGGCTATTCTGGGAATTTTCTTTTCTGCTATTATCCTTTTTTTTTTGTTCCTCCTTGTTGAGCTGTTTTGTACTGCGTAGCTTTTCTATTGGTTGAGTTTGTTATGCACGGAGAGGTGTATATTTCTTTTGTAGTGGATCATAGTCTGTATACAGGATATTTTTCATTCATTCATTCATTCATTCATTTTTTGACTGTTATGATTTCTCAAGTTCATATAATATTTTCCTTCTTCTCCAATTTTTATAACCGCATACTTATAATAGATAGAATAAAAAGTAAACCTGTTTGTAAAGAGTGGAGTGAGGATGCAGCTCTTGACGAACAAGTGTACCCATGGAAATATGCGGAACATCCAGAAGCTTCGAGAGCCTTTGAGCGTAGACGTGTCGCCTCGCCACTGGATCACCAATAATGACCCACTGCACTCCACGCCCTATCCTATCACACCCTTCCTCTGATTCCTCCATTGCCCTCCGCTTCCCGTTCCCTCGTTGTTCGTCTTCATCATCATCATAATAGTAGTAATCATAGTCCAACTGAGCCGCAGCCGCTGATCCATAAGTTCGAATGAGACCAAGCCGATGTGAAACAAGAGGCCGCGCCGCCACTCTGAGGTGGCTCAGCACTGCCATAGCGGCGTACACAAAATCACAGAAGGGTTTGAAAATGTAAAGAGTAAAGCAAGCGGGCGCAAGGGTTTGGAATATAAATTTATATTTACGTTTTATGCCACCCCATTTTTCTTGGAATTTATTAGAGAAGATTGACGAATGAGGTGAGAAAAAGAAGTGGAAATTGTAAGAAATGTCGACTTTCCTCTGGCCATTTGTAAAAATGGTAACTTTTAAAAATTCTTGTAAAAATGGCCATTTTGATATATTTT